TGACAGCTGTTATATATGTTTGTTTTTTCATTCAAGTGATGTATTGATTTAATGCATGTTCATCTCAGTGAAACAGAAAACTAGAAAACATGAAGAACTAATTAAATAAAAATAGAGAAATAAATAATAAATGCATATATGTTAATTGGTAAACACATTTATAAATAAATAATTAACGAATTAGTAATAAATTAATAAAACAATGACTTAATAAATAAACTAGCATTTAATTCCATGAAGTAGATTATAGCTCGCAATGGATAACATCTATTATTTGTATTAGCTCGAACGCGTAAGATTGTTTCTGTACTAGCTTGATCCTAAGCAGATCCAGGAGGGGAACAGAAGCAGCGTTAGTTCAGAAACTGGCACAATCAGGCAGATATCTTTGAAAGCCTTCTAGCATTTTTCACCCTCCAGCACAGGCCGAGGCGAAAGAGGATGTGTCAGAAGCAGGAGCAGGTAGCAAGACAGGCTTTGTCAAAAGCAAAATCACAGATGTCACTGTGGTATTGGTCAAAAACATTAGTCTTTACAGTCAGTTCCTGTTAGTGTTATGCCTTTGAAATAGCCAGTCTTCAAATTAATATTTTCCAATGAGCTGGCCTTTGGGAGTCAAAGAAACAAACAAATTAATCTACAAGAACGAGCCTGCCTGGGACACTGATAAATCTGTTACGACAAGGTAAGGCTTATTAAACACTGAGAAATATATTTCTCCAGCCTCTGGGTCAAAAGTAAGCTTAGAGGTTAATAGAGAAAATCAACATTTTATGAAACGTCATGTGAACTACTTGTTTCTTCATACTCTGCTTTCAACACAAAAAATCATTGCTCAATACATTTAGCTTGAAAATATAGTAGGTTTTTATCCAAATAACACACAATTTGGAGTTGTAGGGACATTATTAACAATGGGATAATGTAGCTGCCAGTAAAATTTGAGAAACCCAGTGAGTTCCAACTGTTCATCCATACTTGAGCATCAGAACTGACCTTGTGTTCATGAACTCTATCAGATCACACATACAAAATTTCCTCTGACTATATAAGATGAAAGGGAGGACAGCTGAAGTGTATTGTTGAAGAAATAACTCAGTCTTGATAAAAGGAGTGCTTTGTAGAACAGAAAAGCTAAACAGTGCCATTGATTATCATGATGCGCGCTACAGAGAAGGAAGGTGGAAACACAGGGGCTGCCTACACACAGCTTTTCTTCTGAGCAGCAGGAGAAGTTTCAGCGGGGATTTTTCTTCCAAATTCTGGCATTAGAGAAGGATGCCTCCAAGCTGAAAGGTTTTTGCTGGGTGCAGTGGTACAACAACTTGACCTGCTATACTAAGGAGGGTTTCTTGGGTGCAAAAAACAAGTGAAAAATGAGTCGCTCTGTGGACGTTTGTAGAGAGAGACAGGCATATACAGATACATACAAACAAATGTTATCTAACGCCATAGCCCGAAGAATGGATCAGGTGGCAAAACCTTACTGTCTCTGCTTCACAATCTTTATATTTATTCTTTCCAAAGCATGTTATGTGGTTTAGGCAATTGCCCAGGGGGATAGAAATTCTTAGTGAACCACGCTGTCTTATTAGCTGTTTTCTGTCACTGCAACCCACACTTTCAGACAGGGAGAGAAAGGGGTTATTAACATTATAGTATCAAAAGATCTGCATTTTATATACCCGCTGTTTCTGTGTGATAGTTAATAGTGCAAAGCAAACTATAGATCTGTCTCAATAATCCAAAGATGATTTCACTAATTAGCTTGAAGTACCTTCAGATATCTTCCTTGTTTCGAGGGAGTCGGTCACTCTCGTTTTCCATAATTCTAATTAGGTTTTAGAAACGCCATTCTGAAAAACAATCAGGGTGTCCCCAGAAACCATGGTTGACCTCCATGGACAACCTAGAAGCCAAAAAAGACTTACAGTCTAAGTCTCATTAGTCATTTAAAGGGTTATGATCCAGTATTCACTAGTACAGTTAGGGACTTTAAATAGAATGGCTCTTTCAATGTGTAAAAGCGATGGTCTTTGTGACCTAGGCTCAGCTGGCAACCTGGAGCATACTCAGATGGGTAAATCTAGCTCATTCTTTTACACTTGTACTGGTTCAGATAACGAATTTCATTTTTGGAACTGCAGGTACACATTTTTGTTAGTACAAAACAAAATACGCAGCAGAAACGCTGTATGACATCAAGACAGAGAGAGAGAATGTTTCACAGTGGCATCTTTCGCATCATCCGTGGGAAAAATAGTTCAATTCTAGCATACAATACGTCATAGAGAGTACATCTGCCTTTCAGAGACACGAGCTGATAAACACCCACATGAGCTAGCTTTAAACCGCCTGTTCGAGCAGAATAGCCATGGCAGCATAAAGCTTTGTGGGGCTTAACGCCCGAGTATTTTTTGTTAATTTCCTACACAGGCAGGTAGGCTTCCCAGCCGGAGCTCACTGTTACCATGGCTACACCACTAGCAGTCCCCAAGTCAGCTAATTTGGGTAAGCCTGCCTTAGCTGCAGGCATTTTAGTGACTGTAGTGCGGACATATTCATAGTAATGAAGAATTTTCAAAAAGATTTCAAAACAGCCATGTTACTTTTTTTTAATGTCTACTGACACTATTACCACTGATGCCATGAGGACAGGTTCTGGTAGGTGGGCAAGAAGGTAAGTTTCTGAATTAAGTCCAAATGCAAGCAGCCCAGATAGTTTTTGTTATATTTGATACAGTGGTAAAGACAAAACTGTAACGATGGGAATTTTATGTGTTTAAAACTGAATTTTGTTTCCTGTAAATTTCACTGCTTCTCTTTAATTGAAGTGTAAAGTTTTCTACAAAAAGAATTAGCTTCTGTATCTTTTTGGCACTATACAAGTACCAGAAAAAATTCTTTTGGGGGAATTGTTTATATTTATATAAAAAGAAGGTAACCACTATAGCATTTTATTTGCATAGTTAGAGAATTAAATTGTAGACACACACAAAACCATTACCAATCTCTCTGTACCCAAATTTCTTTTTTTTCAACATTCTCTTCTGTAATCCCAGAATTAGTATACCAAAGCATATTATTCCTTTTTCTCTTACACACCATGTCTGTATTCATTTCAGCATAAGTTGTTTCTGTGGTCTGAAAAATCACTTCACATAGCACTTATTCAGATTTCACTCCCTTAGAAATAAATAATTTACTGCTATCTATTCTACAAATACCCTCAACCTAAGCTGTCTGCTAACTATAATGGTAAATTGTTTGAACTGCAGAAAAAACCAATGGCCTCAACCATATTATAATGTCTTTTAATAATTACCTAGATAGCTATGACAGATTGCTGAAGTATGTTATTGTCTCTCTTCAGGCTGAAATATTTTCAAAGCAAGTAAACTAACTGGTTAGGTGGATTTCCTTCAAAATGAGTATATACAGATAGATCAATTTTTGTGGGTCATCTCACTGAAACTACCCCAAAAGGTGGTGCTAGTACCTTCTCTTTAACGGAGAGCAGGCCACGGAAGATGCTCTCTCTTTACCCATAATCTCATGTTACCAAGTCCAAATTAATTTGAAGACACTGAAGAAGTAAGACTTGTTTGGCCATATTTCTAAGCGGTCAATCGTTTCTTAGTTGTATTTGCAAAAAATAAATAAACTCTCTTCCTCACTCAGAAGACAAACTGCTCATGTGTACCATCTCAGCTAGAATTAACAACCTTAAACGAGACTGAAAAAAAAAAAAAGGAGGTGCTAAATAACACTACAGAACTGCTCTTAAAACCAGGCATCAAATATGAGTCTAACCAGCATGAGAAAGTAAGGTGTGGATTGACATTGCACACTGAGAATGAAACAAAATACCCCATACTGTACATTTCACACATCTAAACTGGGAATTAACGCAGAGCAGCTGAAATACTTCTAACTCACTTCTCTACTTATTGTATAACTTGTATTTGCGGATGCAGTTAAGCAATGAATTAATTTACCTCCATGGACATGCCTCATGAAGTGTCTGAATGTGTTCTAGGATCCTGAAATAGAAAAATACTTAAAAGATCACAACACTTTGAAGGAAAAAATGAACCATTTAGACGCTTTCTCAAGGAGATGTATTTCATGGGCTCTACAAAAAGATGGTTGTGCCAGGTACCACAGGGAGAAGAACCCTTACTGCAAGTGCTTAAGAGCCAAGATACTGAAGTCTATACTAAGGACAGAACAGAAATTTTAACTCTTACACTAAACAGATGAACTTCAAGTAAATGTCAGCTGAAACACAGATGGTCCCTTAGGAAAAGATTCTGCTATCGTGAAGTCTGTGCAGAAATCATGATTAGCTAATCTAATTACTAATATGTTCTTTATAAATCTTATCTTTACTATTACTTGAATGGCTTAATTTCAACAGTTCTAAATTCATACTGCAAGTTGCTGGAGCTGCCCATTTTTTTATGCATTGAACTTATTAATACTGCTTAGCTTCACAATATCACTACAAAGCAATACCCTGTACTGCCTATACAGTTTTACATTTGCTCCTCATTCCAGAAATGTCAATAGGCAGGATTTTACAACTAGAGGGTGCTGAAGGACCATAATGTGATATGATGATATGCAAAACTCTTAATGACCTTTAGTGGAAAGAAGAAAAATAAATCAATTACTACTGCTCAGTAGAACAAGTTAATATATTATGAGGGAATACAAATATTGTAATATTTACTTGTCTAAGTTAAAAAATTATTAATACTTTATAGTCAATGTTATGTTTTATTTTACATTTTATTTGTTTCAAATTTGCCGTTAAACTTTGCTTCTGTCCTTAGTTCTGTACCATAATGAAGGAAAAGCATTTATCTTAACAGTATGCTTTCCTTTTGCTTCCTTTTGTGTGAGTTGGAAAGCAATTATGATGTAGTATTGATTAAACGTTTTCTGATAAACACAAAGCCATCAAGTAAGCGCAGGAAAGCAAGAAGGAACAGACATTAATTTAACAATAAAATCTATAATTGAGATTATACAGATAAAATGTGGACATTAATTACAGATAAATCATCTTATAAGAGTTCTAACAACCAAATCATATTCCAAAAGTCAAATAATTTCCAACACAGGGTAATTATTTTCTTTTCCTCTAATACCATAAGAAAAAATACAAGTATGAGAATAAATAATGTCTATAAATATAGCACTCTTGATTGTATGCAAAAAAGTTATGCCTCCCTTACTTCCTCTCTTTGAATTATCCTTATTACTTCTTAAGAGTCTCTAACAATTCCCCCAATACTTTTAATAGAAAAAAATATCGAAGCTTTGAAGTAGACCTTAATGGTATTAGATTTTGCCCCCAGTAACCTTTTCAGGTCAACACAATTCAGCAACAATTGAGATTTCCTCTAATCAGAAAGAAATCCAAAGGCTAAACTGTGACTGCCTAGTGAAGTAGTCCCTCAAATGTCGATGAGCAAATGGCAAGAAAGCAGGCTGTGAGTGAGTTACCCATATTCTAAACAATACCTCTTTTCAATTCTGATATGACTTGCCTCTTCTATCATCAGGAATGAGAGGCATCTGTAGGAATGTGCATCATAAGAGTTATCAAAAATATCAGGCCAATAACTATGGCGAACCTCAAACATGGAAAGCCAGCTAGGTTTTTAAGTGGCAGTAGACCTGAAATACAGACTTTGCACAGATTTCATCTAAAACCAGTATTCAGCTGTGGATCTTAAAATGGCTGTGGTTAATAAAAACTGTGTGCGTGCAGATCTGTCAAATGTCTATTGAATCCAGTGTGACTTGCTTTGTTCTTTTTATTCAGATTTTTGACCTTCTGATTGTGCATGCTCACTGCATATGGCCAGTGTTCACATGGCAGACAGCAACACAGAAGTGATACGATAGTCCACGCAGGGTGGGAACTTGCTCTACACATCCCGTGTAAGCTAGAAATGCAGCACAACGTAAGTGATTTTACCTGTTTTAACCTTAGAGACTGTTTCAGTTATTTAATTCAGTTCCTTCCTTTCTCATGAGGAGGAAATAATTTCTATTTCCTTCTACGCATTGCCAAGTTAGTGAAAGCTGTCTTATTTTAATATTTCAACCAAATGTTATGCCCCAATTCTACAAGCAGAAAACTGTTTCTCTATGGTATGCTCACAAGGGCTGAGGCATAGCACCTGTGTGTTCCTGGACAATATACACAGTTTGGATACCATACCTACAGGAAACTTTCGTTTTACTGTCTCACCTCATGATTTAGCATTACAAAGGGGCGTATCCTGCCATCCACTAGAGACCACAAGTATTGACTCCTGTCCTACACACACTAGGGAATTTCTATGGTCCTAACGTCATGTGGTTTCCTCTGGAAAACAGACAGCAGTCTCTCAGAACTGTTTAATGTTTCAGACCTTATCTTCCAAAAAGGAGCAACTAAATACATTGAGTTGGTGACGTTATTAATACCTCTCTGGTATACAGATAAGGATTCTTTACATATTTAAGAGTCTCAGCCCCTCAGACCCTTCAACATTTCTTCCCTTCTATTAGTGGTGTGAACTTAGGCAAACAAGTATAACTGGTGATAAAAATGCGATTTAACCTGGGAATGACTGGTTTCTTTAAACTGAGGGCTTTCAAACTTCAAGAGGATAAACAAAATAAAATGAGTAAGACATACCAAATTCAACAAGAAATAAATTGTGACTTATATACTGCAGGCTTGCAAGACGCTAAAGAAGATAAGCCAGAGGATAGAGTCATGTAAAAACATATAATATATCCTGATACTTAACTGTACGTTGTGATGTTTCTCCAAAACTCCTGATACCTTTAGTCTAGAAAGCGGCCTCTCTGTTTTTGACATAGTATGTCTAGCTTGCGCCTAAGGAAATAGCTAGTAAAAATTTGGCCCAACATTTTATTGTCAGCATATTCTCACACACTTCTGAAGTGTGCTGCTGGATGCATACAGTTGAATATTTCTAAATAAGCTGATTTTACAAAATTAGTAATTCTCTGATCTTTATTTTTGCACAGACAAGATCAGCTTATTCAATACTGTCCTCACTTACAAAGTCTAAATCATATGAATTACAACTTAGGTTTTTTCTTCAACAGCGCCATCTAAAATCATACAGGAACAATATGTTTTTTTCTTGGAAAGTCATCAGAAAAGCTGTTAAATACTACATATACTAGAATACTGATTTTAATAATACTCAACGTGCACATCAGTTTCATTGTCAGAAACACTTTAAATCTCTGTAAGTTACTAATAACTGAAGAGAGTTACTCAATTTCATAATGTAGTATGCATTATCCTTCATGAATTCCTAAAGCAGGAAGTATGCTGTACATCTATACACAACGTTGGTTGGAACACAGACATTGCGGTGTCATGCTTTCATTCAAATTTCAGATGCCATATTTTCCGTACAATCACATGGCATCAAAATGCAACATATTGCTTTGAAAATGCAAATAATTTCACACAGTGGCCTTCATGACTGGGAAGGAGTAATGAGATGGGATATATTTTACACATACCAAAAAAAAAAGGTTTATCATAAATATATGGACCAGTATATGACGTTGAAGAACAAGAAGCAAAAGGGAAACAGTGCTCTTGCATAAAGATCAATTCGCTTTGCTGCTGATGGTATGACGGGCTTGGGAGGAGGAGGCTTCTTGTTGTTCTTGGCTTGAGATTTCCCGAGCCCATTGTTGACTTCAATGGGCTTCCCATAACAGTCATAATTTGATAATTCAAAATCTCTCGGTAAGCTTCCAACAATGCTGAAATCATTGGATCTCAGATCAGATTTCGAAGTGCAAACTTTTTTGCATCTCGTCTCACCAACCTATGAAATAGAGAGTGAGGGGAATGATGATCTACTCACCACATTTCATCCACAAACTCAATGCAGCTGCTAGAGAACACCGCAAACAAACATATAGGAAATTACTTGCTGATAGGGATTCACTACCGCAGCTTAATTTCCTGAATGGTTACATTATAAAGTACTTAAGGATGATCAGTCAATCATATCAACTAATCTAAACATTCATAATTGTGTCATTTTTCATGCACAAAGTACCTTATGCTGCGCAACCTCCTATAGATAGTTACGACTCCTCCATTTTAAGACGATACGAGGGGGAAAATATTTTTGCAGAAAACATTTTGGAAATAGATTCTGTGTTGATGAATACTGCAAGACAGATCAATACTATTCAATACTTACATTTTTCTGAGGCCTGGAAGCTCCAGTCAGAATTAACCTAAAAATTCAGTGTTTGATCCAACAAATAAAGTTGGAACTACATATTAGCTCTACATATTAGCCAGCTCAAGATCATAAATCTCCTTACATGGTGAGAAGGCACCTTCTTTGTGTCTATAGTCCTTGATGCCTCTCTAAAGACAGCTAACAAAGATGTTACACCATTCTCAAAGCCTCCCACTGGTTCACTGGAGAGTCATATAACTGGGAAATATAAACTAAGCAACTGAACATCTGTTTTTCTTACAGCTCAGTCAAGCTTTTCCCAGTGCTCTTGGAGATAAGGAATAACACCAGGTGATTCACTCTCTTCTAAAGACTGGGCAATCTTTCTGGCACACACAATGAATACTTAAAAGAAAAAAGATGTTTGGTGTCCTTCAGACTGAAGTGTTTTGAAAAAAAAAGTTCCTAGATTCCCTTCTTTGGGTTTTAGAAAATTTTTATTGCAGGCACAACAAATCTCTAAGAGGGTGAGTCCACATTGTTTAGGGAGCTTGAAGGGATTTGGAGACTACTTACAAGGCACCAGTAACAATAACTGTGCTTTTTGACTTTGGTAAATCTCTACCAATGTCTCATTTCATTTGGACTACACAGAAGAACAGCAAAAGAAAAAAAAGAGAGAGAGAGAAAACAGAAAAAGGAAGAGAATTCTGGTTATGAAACATAGCTGCATTTTTAACAATGCCATTTGTTCACATATATAACCTGAGAGTTAGTTGGAAAAAATGCTGGCTCACAAATCAGGTTATACACACTGACAAATACCATTAAGATAAGTTTAGCCTAGGGCTTCCTGGAGTCACTGATCCACTGAAATTTGGTTCTTTCAAAAGCCTTCCCATTCCTTGTTCCCAATAGCCTATCTCTCAACCACAATGCCTTCAGGCACTTTACTTCCACAGCTCTCCAGCTCTGGTTCTCTACAGTTTTAGGCTGATGGCTCAGGATATTTGCTTCATCACATATTGTAACTAATTAAAATAATTATGGTGAAATACAGTACCAGACTTCTGGATGTATTAAAAATATTCTGGAGCATATTTTTAGCTCTACTATGACAATTAACAAGATATCCTGGACAAAAAGAAATATGGTAGAGATCTAAATTATGACTAGGGCTTTTACTCCCATTTCTGATAGTGATAATTCTGGTGTAACGTGGAAGAGAAACATGTCTGTATTCCCTCAGCCAAGAGTAATTACACCTCCCCAGGTCTGTCAGACTTCATTTTCTCAGGAAAACAGTATATTTCAAAACTGATACACTATAATTGAGGTGGAGGATACATTACAAAACCAAGATGATAGGTTATAAAAAAGAAAAACAAGATAGGTGTTCCATGACTGTAAGGCAAAACAATATATATAGTTTCTGCAGTTGTTTCCCAGTTATTAGAAAAGTCACATCCTGGCACAGCGTTCAATAGGAGTAGGCAAACTGTCAAGAGGCAAACTGTCTAATTAAGGTGATGTTTGAGGCATTTATGAACATGATTATGTGATACTATGTGATGTGGTTACTGGGGATTAGACTTAGTGATCTGAGAGGTTCCTTCCAATCTTAGATATGTATAATTAAGATGCGAAGCAAACCCTTGTGTAGTGGAAGGGTAACTTGCAGGATTACGGTGCAAGTTAAGTAAAGAGTCACAAGAATATTACTCTTCACTACTTATTTATCAAATTCCTAACTTTTCCCATGCTCAAAACTAGTAAGATTTAATAGATCTGTTATAAGAAATAGAAATATTTAGGAAATTATAGGTCTCCTTTGGGGGTTGCAGACCTTTAAGTACCTTCCTCATACTCTCAAAGATACACTGTAAAACCCAGTGATACTAATTCCAGTTCAAGTGCTCTCATTACATAATATAGTATATTCCAATTCCAATTCCAATTCCAATTCCAATTCCAGTATTTAGAGAGTGTTCTTGTAAAGGCTTTTACAGATTGGTTTTCATTCACTTCCAGGAAGTAGAATTAAGGGAATAGCTTCTAGGTCACCTACTCCTTACAAACAGAGGATTGCTCACAGTATGTTCACAGAGCTTTGCTTAGTTTAGTATCAGCTGCAGTACTGATTTACCAGGGTGACACCATTTTCCTTGTAAGAGCAACTTGGCCCAAATTTTTCTTTCGTAACTGTATGCTACTCTTAATTATGCTCCTTGGAAAAATAATTCCTTTAGTTTCCCTGGGTTCACACATCTAATGTGTTTGTCTTCTATATTCAGTTGCTGCCTAGACATATTTTTTAATTTCATCTAATACATCTCTTCAACTCTCAAATATTTATGTTGTTTTTATCTAAATTCTCTTCAGTTTGCCAACAGCTTTCCAGAAACAAAGTGAAATAACGTAAATGAAATGTAGTTTATCTGCTTTTTATTAATCCTGGTAAGTTTGGTTTGTGCTAGAAATATAACAATGTTCCTGACACCTGCCAAAGCCTACGAGGACAATTCTGTGGAAAATTAAATGATCCCATAGGACTTGATTTTAGAGCAATACACTGAAGACTTGTAAAGAAAGTAAAGCATTCTTAAATACTTTCCACACCTCCTATATCACTTCTACTTTATCATAACATACAACTTGGCCATGGAAAATATTTCACAACATTTGCTTTATCCTGCCTTAGCATTGTCCAACAGTGACCCATGGGTCAAATGCTTCCACCGGATCTATTGCTTTTTCCCTTGAGGGGATGGAGAGCAACTGTTTGGGAAGTGAATGTTCTCTAATAGTGAACAGCCTCTCCTTGTCCTAGATACTACCGGTCACAGCGAGCCAGGCAGATGCTCCTGCTCCCACCAGTACAGAGTATGGTGATGGGGAAGGTTGAGGAGAGCACAGAAAGGCAATATGGCTCTTGGGGCTTGTCCCAAAATACAGATCTAGTTCCAATTTCTTCCGGGACTGGGCCACCTTGCCTAGGCTTTATATGTCAGATAGGACACCTGCTTTTTGATTAATAAATCAAAAATACCTAAAAATGACTCAGAGAAGCCAGAAGGTCTGTTGTGATCATCCATTCTCACCTTTTACATAAATGAGACTGTCCAATTTTCATTGCCAACCCAAACTCAGCACCTGTCCTTGCCATGGGCCTCGTGCTCCAGAGCTGCGGCGCATGTACCACAGGCATGCTGTGCACCACACCAAGGCCACACCCAGCTCAGGCTGGAACCAGCTTCCCAAACCCTGGCCACGGCCTGCGCAGAGGTAATTAGCACATCACTTTACAGAGACAGCATGGGCCACTGCTCCCAGATCATTTAAGGGCTGCAAACACCCAGGCAAAATGGGCAGCTTGCAGCTAAGCACAGGAACACAGGCAGGTGCTCCTGGCTTTAGTGTTTCACCGAAATATGAAGAAAACCAGGCTGTCTTTGTTTCTGAACTGGAATCCTGAAGCAGGGAGTACATGGCAGGGAAGAAAGGAGCATGGGTAGAGGAGGAAGGGCATGCATGAAAGTCTTCATCTGTAGAGTCAGGGAACGCGTTAGGAGAGCGTGGAAAAAGGAGAAGAACTCTAGGTGCACTTGAACTAACACTGTGGGGGTACTTCCTATTACTGCCTCTGCTGCTTTTGGTGGTCCTCATAACTGCCATCATTGCTGTCCAAAATACTAGATTTTCCTTTTAAAATATCCAGACGGAGAATTTTTTCCCATGATCTTGTTCCCTACAAACATGTGTACCTTATTTCTAACCCGAATTTATTTGGCTTCATCTTTCATGGCTATACTTAGCTTGATTAGCCGCTGATACTTACAGACCATAACAAATCTAACCTTGATTTTGCATAGTTCTGATGACCTAATCAGCCTGGCATATGAAGCCAAGTTAAATGTTCTTCAGAACGTCTTACCTCAACACCATTGCCATTATCAACCTGATTGATAATCTTTTTAAAAATTATATTCAGTTTGATCAAATTAATAAACATGCAGATCAGCTTTAATTTCACTGACCCCTTTAAATTTATTAGCTAACATGGGCTGAACTATGAATAAGATTAGTATGAATTAATAATTACAAATAATAATTATTATTCAGCCCCATGTTACCTATTCAATATCTTCCCCAGACTGATGTAAGGCTTATAATTATTCACGTAATCCCATTTAGCCTTTAAAAGTACTGGCACAAAGTTAGCGCCTTGCAGGCTTTTGGATTTCTCCCAGTTTTAAAACTTTTATTAAAAAATCAACACTAATGTTCCATAACATTCACAGACCAGCTCTTTAAAAAATCTTAGACGCAAGTTTAATTGACGTTCTGATTTTAAAACGTCTAACTTTAATAGCTGCTGTTTAACATCCTCATTAGCTATTGTTGATGGAAACTATTTCATCATCATCTGACCTGAATATCTCTGGCTTTTTCTCACAGACCAGAATATTTGTCCAATACTTCTGCTTTACTGCTAATTCCCGACACTTGCAACATCTCTATCTAGTATTGGACCAATACCCTTGTTATTGGTTATGTATTCTTGCTATACAAACAAAATAACTCCTTAATGCCCACATATATGCTAACCACAGATTCCTTCCCATCCTTTT